CACCAGCCACTCCTCGGAAGGAAGGTTGGGCAATCCTACTTCCGTAGTGATACTGCCTCGGAAACCCAAGGAGGGGTCGCTATGAGTCGGGGCCGACTCCACGGCACATAACAACAACAACAACAACAAAGAGTGGCACAAATTAAAAATCTTTGTAGCACCAAATTTAGGTGGAGATGTGAAGAAACGGTAACATTGCTTTGATACAAACTTACACGGATACTTCAGAGAGTCAACTGGTAAGGTGGTGTAGTACCTAAGGCATTTGACTGCTAAAGGCTGGTGGTTCAAACCCATCAGCCACTCCTCGGAAGGAAGCCAGAGCAATCTACTTCCGCAAAGATCTGCCTCGAAAACCCAAGGAGGGGTCACTATGAGTCAGAACTGACTCCACGGCAGTGAGTTTCATTTTGGTTTTGAGTTAAATGATACTGTTTTGAGTTTTTTAAACTTTTTTTTTAATATAGTTTATAGTTTTTTATACTTTTTTATACTTCGCCTTTTTTATACTCCATAGCCAGCAAAATGCCTCACATGTATCCCCAATGAGATAGGTACATGGGTTCTTACTGCAGCAATGCTTTTTAATAGTAAAAGAACTGAGTTTTAAGGAGCTCCGAAGGTGTAGTAGTAAAGGCATTTGGATGCAAACCAAAAGTTCGATGGTTTGAACCTAGCAGCTGCTCTGTAGACGAAAGATAGGATGGTCTGCCTCCGTAAAGATGTACAGCCTTGGAAACCCAATGGGGGTCACTATGAGTTGGAACTGACTCAATGGCAGTGAGTTTTAACGGCAGTGAGCTCTGGTTGCACAGTGGGTGACATCTGGCTGCTAACCAGAAGGTTAGCAGTTCAAACCCACCAGCTGCTCTGCAGGAGGAAGATGAGGCTATCTACTTCCCTAAAGATTTACAGTCTTGGAAACCCTATGGGAGTCACTATGAGTCAGAACTGACTCTGTAGCTGTGGGTTTCAGTTTGGTTTAACTATACATTATTAGGTGAATAAATAAACTGTGGTTTCAGTCTATAATGATAGTTAAAATTCATATGGCAGTTACAGTGAATGAACAAAATCTACATGGATGGATTGCAAATACATGAGACAAAGGTATGTACCATATGATATCACAAATGAAAGCATACAAAACAAGTTTTTGGTTGAAAGAATTTTTCAACAATATTGTACATTTTTTTTTAAACTTGTGACAAGTTTCAAACACACAAAATTGGAATAATATAATGAAACTCCATGTGCTCATCACCTTGCCTCAGTAACTATCAATATTTTGCCAAACATAATGATACACCAAAATTCATGGCCATTAACCAGGAATTGACGATGAGAAAGGAGAGCCAGGTTCTCCTGCAGGCCCTGTCCCCAAGAATCCTGTGACCCTGACACACTGATTTCCTCTGCATGGTCTCCCCTCTGGACTGAGAAGATGTCAGATTGGACAGATAAAATGTTTTGGAAAAAGGAAATAATCAAGACTAAATTATGAAATAATCAAAAATGAAATAGAAACTGATTTTCTAAAAGTTACAAAAAGAGAAATCTAAAATATGTAAAACACTAAGAAGATCTAAAAGACTGAAAACAATAAAGCTACACTATCTATTCTTTAGCATTCCTAACTACTGTACTTTTCCACAAATAATGTGTTCACATAAATAACATACCCACGTATATAACACATGCAAATGATGGAATTAAGTAAAATAGTTCTGGCATAGCTTGCCATGCATATACCATGTATATCTCATGACATTTCTGGAGAGATCTTCGGCCTTATTCATCCATCCTCCCATGTTATAGGTAAATCAATCATTCTGTTCACTTTTTTTTTTTTTCATTTTCTTTAATGTCCTGCTTATGTGTATAAAATGTCTGAAAATGTTACTTTTGATCATAATTGTACAATAAAGGTGTAAGCCATGATCAAGAAGTCATGGATCAAGTTTGGTAGCCACCCCCCACCAACCCAGTAATAAGAAAATAAACAATCAAAACTGTGTGTTTGTTTTTATTAATTTAAATTGTTAATTATCTCATTAGCTCAACAGTTAATTGCAGAAACCTTATCAGATCATCTTAAGTGAAATCATTAGGTTATGTTAAGCCAAACCTAACCAAACCCACTGCCATCCAGCTGATTCTGACTCATAACAACCCCCACTGGGTTTCCTAGGTGGTAAATCTTTACAGAAATAGATTGCCATATCTTCCTTCCACGGAGCAGCTTGTGGGTTTGAACCACCAACTTTCTGGTTAGCAGTCAGATGTCTTAGGCACTGCACCACCAGAGCTCCTTTAGGTTATATTAGGTCTGCTTATTTCATATTTTAATAATTCTTAATGACAACTGAAGGCAACAACATGAAAAAAAATTGGCATAGTACACTCAGAAAAATAACACTAGATCTGGGATTGTTGCACAGTTGACAAAAAACATATAACGTGTTATTTGTGGAAAAAATATGGTGGATAATCTGAGGTCTCTTCTAGCTCTATTAAAATATGATTTTGTCCTCAGATATGTTCTTGGGGGAGGTACGCTCACTCATCACTTATCAACATGTTTAGGTTCCGATGATCAAGTAGCTATGCAAAGCCAGCATTAGGCCGGGCCGCATCTTCAGCACTGGTATCCCCACCCTGGTTGCTCACTGCCCACAGAGAACCCCTAGTACATCTTGAGATATACATGGTGTGGGGTTTTTTTCTTCTTTACCATGCCTTCCCTGCCATTATGAAGCCTGTGGGGGTTAGAGGTGGTGGTGGTGGTGGTGGTGGTTGTGGTCCAGTGTTGTCTGATGGTCACTGCCTCCTGCCATTCACACTGGGCAGGTACCCTGTTTGTCTTCTGCCTGCCACCTCCTGCTGCCATACTGGGTGAAGACCCTACTTGTCCTCCATCCACTCTGGCCCCACAGCCCCATGCATCCCTTCATGGCCCTCTTCCTTCCCACTCACCTCCTCCCACAGACCTCTCTGGCACCTTTAATTCTTCACCTAGCCCTCACCTTCAGGCACCTTCAGGCCTTCACTTATCCTCTGCCTGTCCACTCATGATTTCACATTGTCTCATTGTCACCTGTCCCTCTGTGACCAGACCAAGACATAGCAGATGAACAAAAGAAGGCATCTTGTGGCCTATTGGCCAACATCCTTGTGGGGCCTGGTATCACCGGACCTTCCAGTATATAGTTCATAGTAGTCCATGGAGAATATTCGGGGCCAGGTTGCAGCCCCACATGGGGCCCAGACCATCAGAGGTACTGCCTGAGAATTTTTTCAAAGTTGTCATAAATGTGAAACATTGGGTAACGAGATAATCGTTTAGTGAGGAATAGGTATACTAACATAGTTGCCTCCCTTCCAATAACTCATCTTTTCTCCCTGAATCCCGAGTCTACTTTAACACCAGGATAGCAGTGGCTTCCTGGGAGTTCTCTTTACTCCTTATGTCACCCTTACTTCCACGATATCACTGACACATACAGGAGGCCTATAGCCTGGCTCTGACACATAAGTTTCAAAAATTCTGTAAAGCAGGAAGAGATTGGAAGACCCATTAAATAAAAGGCAAATGGGCTGTTTGGAAAAGTGGACACATACCTCTTGAAACAGTGAGCTGCTGTAAGAACCCAGCAGCTACTCAGGAGCGTGGCCCCACAAAGAAGCCTGCCATCTCCATGAGATGATTTCAGCCGAAGAGAAACTTGCCAAGGCCAACCACCCCTAAAAAGAAAGCAAGTCACATATCAAAAACCAGTTGCTATCGAGTCAACATTGATTCATGGACCCCGTGTGTGTCAGAGTAGAACTGTGCTTGTTGTTGTTGTTGTTATGTGCCGTGGAGTTGGACCCGACTCATAGCAACCACTCCTTGGGTTTCCAAGGTGGTATCACTACGGAGGAAGATTGCCCAACCTTCTTTCCAAGGAGTGACTTGTGGGCTTGAACTGCCAGCCTTCTGGTTAGCAGTCAAGTGTCTTAGGCACTATGCTGCCAGAGCTCCCAAACTGTGCTACACAGGCTTTTCAATGACCACTTTTTTGGAAGTAGATCACCAGGCCTTTTTTCCAAGGTCCCTCTGGCTGAACTCAAACTCCCAACCTTTAACTTAGCAGCCATGCTTAACTGTCTGCTTCACCCAGAAACTCCAGCTACATATCAGCAAACATAAAAGGCAGAAAAACAAAGAAAAACACTGGTTAAATCAGTGACTTGGGAGGCTTGGGGGTGAGGTGAGGAGTACAAAAGGCACTCTATGACATAAAGTCCCTTCCTCCTTTGAGAACAATGCTCCTACAACTCTGAGCAGACTGAATATAAGCAACATGGAAGATAGCTTACAGGCATTATTGTGCATCCCACCTATCTTTGACAATCCTGTTTAGCCTTCTTTATATTTCATGATTTGAAACATACTGTCTCTCCTCATTCTACTTCACCTTAGCAGTCTGAAGAAGTATTTAATAAACAAAGTTCTGAGTTTTCCACATAATTACTAAATCCAAGAATCAAACTAAAATTATATTAACATGAATCAAGTGTGAAACAAATATATTCTAAATTAAATGAACCTTTGTAGTTCCACCCCCCCCCAGGTCTTCTATTAAATTATTTTGCTTCTTCCACATAATTTCCAGCATATATTTCACATTTATTTCTTAAATCAGGGCATAGTGGTATAAGAATACATGGTGTATATTAGGTAAATGTAGGTCAAAGGACAGTGAAATTATCAGTATAATCTGTACTTAATTTAGAAAATAAAATGGATAAGATAAATCCCTTATATAATAGTAGACCACTTGCAGTTTATAACTCTATATGTATAAAAAATAATTCTGTAATACGAAAAATCTCTTCTGAATTTTACCTTAAAGAATTTTGCCCACCAATGATTCGCTTCTGTCGACGGTGCAGTAACCTCAGACCACACACAGGTGAAAGGGGCTCTAAAGCAGAAAAAGGTCATTAATTAATCATATTGCTGATACTAAAAAAAAAAAACACACTGCCATTCAGTCAACTCTGACTCATAGTGATCCCTCCTTGGTTTTCCAAGACGGTAACTCTATGGACATAGATTGCCCAGTCTTCCTTCCAAGGAGTGGCCTTCTGGTTAGCAGTTAAATGCCTTAGGCACTACACCACCAGAGCTCCCATAGAGGAGTAAAACCTAAGTGATATGTTGTTACTTAGGTATTTCATCCTCATCTATTTTTAAAATTCCATTTCTCTTCAATTATACGATACTTTTTCTCATAATAAAAGCAAAAGTTTAATTTAACCAGGGTGCCAATAATTTGCAAGCTGATGAGGACATTTATGAGGCTTCCACCATTCATCTCGGAGAAGGTTTCACAGGCTGCTGAATGGTTTGGATGTACCCAGTATCTCATCCTTGTAAGTATGTATACCTTCTCTGCTGATGATTTAGGCTACCTTAGTGTTTTAGGACCATTAAACAAGAGAATTACAAAGGCAGTAATGGTCTAAATCCCCTATTTTCCATGTGCAACACTGTTTTAAGGTACATGTAAAAATGCAACTTAGAAAAGCAAAACACATTTCTGAATTTGCATTGACTCACATAGTGTATTGATTCATATCCATTGCTCTGCAGTGCAATGGATAAGGCATCTGGCTTCTAACCAGTATGTTGGTGGTTCAAACCCACCAGATGCTCTGCAGAAGGAAGATGAGGCAATGTACCTCAGTAAACATTTACAGCCTTAGAAACCCTATGGATTTCTATTCTGACTATAAGTCAGAATCGACTGGATGGCAGTGTTTTGTTTTGTTTTGTTTTTCTTTTTCATATAGTGCATAAGAAAAGAGTTTGCTAAGAAAATTTAAGTGACAAACTATGTTTAAAGCTATCTGGTCAAGTTTTCTAAGATAAAAGATTCCAGGCACATATGAAACACTTTGTTACATAGAAGTATTCAAATAATTTTTCATTATCATATATGCATAAAGACTTCTGCAAAATTCAATGAAAATTCATTCCATTATGCACTTCAGAAGCCAAGTATTTACTGAATATCTACTTTGGGCTCAGTATTGTGCTGGACTTTCACAAAGCCTATACTCTAGTTGGAGAAACAATATTTATCCAAATCAAATTTCTAAAGAACAGTGTAAACTGGTAGATAATTAAATACCAAACTGTGTGACAGGAAGTATGAATAATATTGTGTCAGAGCTCACAAGTTACAAAGACACTGTCCTTCAGACTATCTGCTCATACAGCACTTCTCTGACCCTAGTCATCCAGAGTGGGTCGGACTTCACCAGTTAAAATGACACCATCTTTCAGACTGCTAAATATGCAGATACCAACTGCAAGTTTGGGGAGTTCACACTGCGCACCAACCTTCTGCCCTGCTGGACACAGATTCCCACTACTACTTTAGGATGCCAGCCACAACCTTGAGAATCCACATGACACCCTTACTTTCTAACCTGCTAGTTTCTACTACCCTTTTGAGTTCAATAATTCATAGGAACAGTTCGCAGAATCTCATAGAGAATATACCATATGTTCTACTACAGATTTATTACAAATGAAGAGGGACATAAGATGAGGTCTGGGAGGGGACCCAGTGTGAAACTTCCATGCCTCTAGGAACACACAACCTCCCAACAGCAGATATTCTCACCCACCAGGAAGCTTATCTGAGCCTTAGGGCTCAGGGCTTTTATCAGCCTTGTCATGTGATCAACAGATTTCATCATGCCTCCTGATACTAGTCAATGCCAGTCTATCAAGTGATCCCTTTTGGTTTGGTCAAGGGGGATCCATTAGCCTCAGTTGAAGTTTAGCTCTCAGGAATCTAGAACAAAGGCCAAATTGCTTTTTGCACCTCACAGAAAGTTAGTTAACATTTTGTATTTCAAATTCTTCAACATAAGTGTAATATCTATTTCTCATGAATGTCTGAAAAATCAATGAGATAACATATAGCAAGCATTTAGCATAATGCTTGATGAACCAAACCCAACCAACTTGGACATCACGATTTAATCAGCCAACTTGGACATCTCATTTGCCAGCATGTTCCTAATTCTACACCTTTGTCTGTGATGTTCCTCATACTTGGCATGCTTTCCAAACTTCCTGCTCTAAATGAAAAAAACCATGTCTTCTTAAAGCATTCTCTCAAATGCCAACGCCATTGGGAAAGTTTTCCCTTCTCCAAGAGGGTGCACCCAATTTCTTCTTTACACTTCTACATTGTTGCTATTTGCTGCCATGAAGTCAGCCCCTACTCATGGTGACCCCATGCACAATAGAATGGAATGCTGCCTGCTTCTGCATGATGCACATGATTGGTTACAAATTGGATTATTGTGATCCATAGGGTTTTCACAGACTGATTTTCAGAACTAGATGATCAGGCCTCTTTTCCTAGTCTGTCTTAGTCTGGAAGTTCTGCTGAAAGCTGTAGCACTCCCTTTTTTCCCCTTGTGTGTTATAAGTAGTTGTACCTCTCTTAGCTCTTTAGTCAAAGTTGTACCTCTCTTAGCTCTTTAGTCAAAGTTTCAGAAGTGAAATGCCTTCTTTAATATCTTTTCATCTCTGTAGCACAAATGAGAGATACTTGCCCATAACTGAATGTTCATTTACTATCTGTTGAAAAGAATTAGGCTTAAAAACTTCCCAAGAATTGAATGGGTTACAGAAAAGCATAGCCTTTATAAGTGGGAATCTGAGAAATCTGTAGAGACGTAGAAATGAGAAGGTCCCAATATATAAGCAGTAAAGATACAAGCCACCCTTGCCTGGCTTCCCAGCCAGGGATCTATGGCCAGATCCAGGTAAGGGGAGAGAGAGCCCCCAGGCAGGAAGTGGGAAGCCAGGGCTGATGGCCAGATATAGGTTAAGGGGGAAGTCCAGGAAGTGAGTGGAGGGGTTTGGAATAGCCTAAGGGAGATGAACTTGTCTGTCAGTTTGCCGTACTGTGGTGGATTGCGTGTTGTTGTGAGGATGGAGGCTGTGCCAGCGATGTTTCACACACTAGTGGTGTTGCCCATGGTGGATAGGTTTCAGTGGAGCTTCCAGACTAAGACAGACTTGGAAGAAGGAAGAGGCCATCCACTTTTCAAAGAATTGGCCAGGGAAAACGTTATGAATAGCAGAGAAACACTGTTTGATATATTACTGGACAATTTTATGAATAGCCCTGAAACACTGTCCAATACAGTGCCGGAAGATAAGCCCCTCAGATCAGAAGGCACTCACAATACCACTAGGAAAGAGCTGCCTCATCATAGTAGAATCAACCTTAATAATATGGATAAAGTAGAGCTTTCAGGACCACCATTTGCTGATGTGGCACAACTCAAAATGAGAAGAAACAGCTGCAAACATCCATTAATAATCAGAACATGGAATGTATGAAGTCTGAATCTAGGAAAATTGGAAGTTGTCAAAAAATGAAATGGAGCACATAAAGATTGATATCCTAGACATTAATGAGCTGCAATGGACCGGTTTTGGCCATTTTGAATCAGACAACCATAGGATCTACTATTCTGAGAATGACAAGTTGAAGAGGAATGGTGTGTATTCATCATCACAAAGAATGTTTCAAGATCTATCCTGAAGTACAATGCTATCAGTGATAGGATGTCCATGTGCCTACAAGAAAGGCCAGTTAAGACTACTATTATTCAAATTTATGCATCAACCACAAAAGCTGAAGATGAGGAAACTGAAGATTTTTATCAACTTCTGCAGTCTGAAACTGAACAAACATGCAATCAAGATGTGCTAATTATCACTAGTGATTGGAATACAAAAGTTGGAAACAAAGAAGAATCACCAATAGTTGGAAAATTTGGCCTTAGTGATAGAAATAATGGTGAAGATCACATGATAGAATTTCATAAGACCAATGACTTATTCATTGCAACTACTTTTTTTCCATGACACAAATGGTGGCTATACATGTGGACTTCACCAGATGGAGTGCACAGGAATCAGATTGACTACATCTGTGGCAAGAGGCATTGGAAAAGCTCACTATCTTCAGCCAAAACAAGGCCAGGAGCCAATTGTCAACAGACCATCAACTGCTCATATATAAGTTCAGGTTGAAGTTGAAGACAATTAAAACAAGTCCATAAGAACCAAATATGACTTCAATAATATCCCTCCTGAATTTCCAAACCATCTAAAGAATAGATTTGATTCATTGAACATCAATGACCGAAAACCAGAGGAACTGTGGGATGACAACAAGAACATCATCCATGAAGAAAGCAAAAGGTCATTAAAAAGACAGGAAAGGAAGAAAAGACCAAAATGGATGTCAGAAGAAACTCTGAAACTTGCCTTTGAATGGAGAGTAGCTAAAGCAAATGGAAGAAATGACAAGACAAAAGAGCTGAAGAAGACTTCAAAGAGCAGCTTGAAAAGACAAAGTCAATTATTATAATGAAATGTGCAAAGACCTGGAGTTAGAAAACCAAAAGGGAAGAACACACTCAGCTTTTCCCAGGCTGAAATAACTGAGGAAAAAATGTAAGCCTCAATGTGGTGGTTAAGTCTGTGTGTCAACTTGGCTGGGCCTGGCTGAGTGGCTGGGCAGCTAGACGTAGTTATTCCCCATGGTGAGATTGGTAAATAACTCCATGGTGGAATCTATTGGAGCAGCTGAGTAGCTGCTTTGAATAAGTGGTCTGCTTCCTGTATATTAGAAGCAGCTTTGGGAATGCTTATGGCACATTTGGACCCTGCATGTAGCCATGTCTTTGTTTAGCAGCTCTGCTGACCTTGAGACTTACATTTGAGTTGCAATACTGAAAGATTCTATGGGCAAAATATTGAATGATGCAAGAAACATCAACAGAAGATGGAAGGAATACACAGTCACTGTACCAAAAAGAATTGGTAGATGTTCATCCATTCCAGGAGCTAGCATATGATTAAGGACTAATGCTACTG